GTGAGGGTTTGTATAAGTGAGATTATCCTTTTATACATGTTTTATAATTCTATTGATATATCTATAGTTCTTGAGATTTGATAACTGTCCCACTTGACACCTTTTAAGCACATCTTAGTATATATAATGAGTTGGAAAGTTGGTTATGAGACTTTTATCTCACCTCGTAGTTTCTACTGTTTTCAGGTGATAGTTCAGGTGTTAGTCCATCAAGAAAGGCTCCACAGGCTTAGTGTACTGTTATAGCATGTATAGCTTCCTTCTTTTGGTTTTATATGCTGGTTTATCATATATTGCAACATAAGGTTCATTTACTCTGATTTTGTAACTAATACTTCTCACTTTTGCTAATTGCTAAGAATGTTGTTAGAAGGCCAGAGGCCTTTAGGACTTGCATGTGGCACTCTTTTGAAAATATTAACTTTTAATTAATAGAGCTCTATAACTTCTTTTGAAATGATTTATAAGTTTGTATATTTGAAAATATGACATTTCATTTGGGATTATGGTTAAATGTTATTTCTGGACTTTGAAAGTCTGAAGCTCAAGTTAAGGATTGATATTACTAATGATATATATAAGTTTATTTCTTTTAACCATGATAATAATTTTATGATTTTAAGATTTCTTCTTTCCTATCATGGTTAATCTTTCAACTCAATTATTTAATTTAATTTTAGCAAGTTTTGTAAGAACGATCATTGCATGCCAGTTTTGGGAAAAAAGGATAAATCAAGTACTTGAACTACGAAACATGTTATATTAAAAGCAAGTTTTCAAAAAGTTGACATTTTTTAAAAAAAGTTACATCCCTTCCACAACCCATGTTTGGGAGAAGTTTTTAGAATGATTTAAATAAGAGTTCCTTTCTTCTAGGATCAAACCTGACTTAGTAGTTCGATGCTAATCAAAATGATCCTGCTAGTGTAATTAAATAAGATGTTACATTGAAAGTAACTTATAAATATAACTCAAAGAATGTATTTTTACTACCCTTAGAGAGCTTTAAAATATTTATAAATATCTTGACAAGCTCCTCCTCCTGCTAGAAACCTACAAAATTTAAGAGATTATTATTACTTTCAAGACTAATCCTATATTTAGGATTAAAATGATGATTTATTACTCATACTGCCACTTATTATAAGAAATAACTATTAAAATTACATAATTCAAAATGTTAATTAAATTTAGTTAAAATAAATAAATGTATATAACGGCACTAAAAGTAGAAAGAATGATATAAAATTTCAAAGAAAAATAATTTGTTTACTATATTTAAGGACACCACTATGAGAGATATCATTTTTTATAAAATGAGACAGAGAGAGTATCATACTAATTAGTACATAGTTGGAACGAATTATTATTAAGATTTGTAATTTTCAATATTATGCTATAATTCAAAGGTTTTAAATGCAATTTGGGCACTATGATGCTAGGGCATAAGAAAAAGAAATAATGAATGATGAGCATGCAAAAAAATTCAAAAAGAGAGAGCGCATAAAGAGTAGTCGTAAAGGTTATTATATGACTTTGTGTGACAAATTGATGATATAACATAATCTTCAGAATCATGAACAACAGTGACTCCCACAAAATCAAAACATTTTCCTTGAAATGCATAATGCCTGCTACTGCCCCCACCTCCTGTCAATCAAGTTGATAGATAGGTAGATAGAAACAAACCGCATTTGAGCCAAAAAAATAATTAAGAAAATAAAAAATAGAAAAAACATCAGAAAGGCATTTGTCATTTTCTCCATTGAAGTGACCTCATTGGTAAGCCCATCACCATGAGAACTCTTTTCATTCATGTTCTTGGATTTGACAACATTTAGGAATTACTTGGTTGTTTCCAATCACAAGGTTAAAAAAAAAACTAAAATTATTCTTTCCTTCTGGTACTGAGAGAGATTTTTTTCCATTTAGAATAATACCCATCTGAATTAATTAGTAGGAGAATTCCATTTAAGGAAGTGTTTGGATAGAAACTAAACTATGCTTTCAAAAGTGTTTTTACAGTTTATGAAATAAATATGTGAAAGAGTTTGTCTCGTTTTGTGAAAAAGTGCTTTTTAAGAGCACTTGTGAGGGTTGCTAAACACCCCCTAAATCTAACTAAAATACTTAAATCCAAATTCAGATATATACTTTTAACAAATTTTAATTAGATCATGAGGCCTTGTTAAGAATTTCTGAATATTGGTAAATAACTAGAATGTCCTTCTTTAATTAAAAAGAAAAATTGATTGTTTTACTCCATCCAAATAGTTCCTCTTTTCTCTTATAATTATTTTTTTGGGACTAGAAAACATGCAAATAATTTTATAATGTTTAAAATTTGTATGTATAACTAAAACCGTTTAAAATATTTTAATCAAAAATTTTAAATTATAATAAAAGTACCCTTTAAATAATTTTTTGTATTTTCAGGTTGTAAATATTTATTTTTAAGATTTTAAAATATCTTAATTATAAGAAATATTTTATATTAAGTTGTCGGAAATTACGTTTTTGGAGTGGAATCCAACGTTTGCTTAAATAATAAGAATAACATAAATTATAAGTACATAATATTAAATTCTTTTTGTAATCAAAATATTTTAAGATCTTAAAATAAATATTTATAAACATAAAATAAAAATTATTATTTTAAAGCTACTTATGTTGAAATTTAAAATATTTTATTAATATATTTTTGAAGTTTTCAGTTATATAAACAGATTTTAAACACTATAAATTTTTTATGTGGTTTTGGTCCTAAAAACAATTATAAGGGGTGAGAGATCACTTGGGAGGAATAAAATAATTAATTTTTTATCTTAATTAAAGAGAGGAATGCTAGTTATTTAACAACATTCAGAAATCCTAAATTAAGCCTTATAACTAAAGAAATTATGTATTAGGTGAGCGTTATCTTCTTTAGGGTTTTATACATGACCAAAAAATGCAATAAAGAAAACTATAATATATTAGTGATCTTCTTGGAACTTTACAAGTTTGCGGTGTTGTGAACTCTTAAAAATTACAAGCACTCTTTTAGTTCTATTTATAGGATCAAAAGAGAAAGAATTTTTTTGGTCCCATTTATAAGGTAGAAAAAGATATAATGTATATTAAATAGGAATAAAGTTAGAAAGTTATTCAATTTTAATGTAAGTTAATGCAGTTGAAGATTTTTCTTAATATGTTGAAATATATTGGAAGTGACCTACAAATAGAGGAATACTTAAGTTGAACTTTAATCATTTACAAAATTATTTTTAACTTGAACAAAATTTCAATTTTTTCAATTTTTACATAGAATTATTTCATATGTAGTTCTTGATTTACTATTTCATATGTATAATTTTGTTCTTATAACACATTAAACAGTAAGGAGAGTTATCCCTCATAAAACAAAACGATAAACGAAGTTCATGCACATGCCAAGACATGTGTGAGACCTACCATAAACTAATTTTCCATAAATAAATCATCTATTGAAATTTATGTTTTAAAAAGAGAAAAAATCGCATTACAGAATGAACTAATTATTAAATAGTACGTACATGTTAGCCATATAAAATTTTCTAATCACAAAAACCAATATTATGTTATTAAAATAATCTCACGCTCTGATCACTAGTTATTTAATCAAATCAAAAGGTAAGGACGGCTAAAATAAAAAGTGTATATTTGTAGCCATTAATTAAAGAAGCATTAAAGTAACAACCAAGCTCTCCAGAGTTTAGATTCGTATCTGTTCCAAATAATATTTTTTAGAGTAAAATACACATTAAGAAAATATATGAGGTTATATATGCATACAAAATGTTGCAAATTGTAAAAGTAATTAATTCTCATACACAAGTGTGTTATGGCCACTTATAATTTTCAATACTCATATGAAGTGAATGATTAATTAATTATATTTAAACTGACGAAGGAATCTGTATATTAAAGGATATACGCATGCACAAATAGGGTAGCATGCACATGCAAAATGATTAAATGCCAACCTCGTTTCCCTGGAAACCAACAGATAAGACTGAATAAATATAAATCACTTTATTTCTAACAACGAAGTGATATAAAAATAATACATAATCAGATTCAGAATTATAATTAAACACTTCAAGTTGGTGGATAACAGTGAAAGAAACAGAAAAGCCGATCGAGGAACTAAGGAAAGAAGCACGCATTCCCCCCCCCCGTCTCACATATCCCTAGGGGGGAGAGAAAAAAAGGAGAAGACTGACAAGAAAAGTCAAGCTTTATATTAGAGTAAATAGTGTACTACTATCTTTTTTAACCCTATAAATCCTTTTGTCATCTTTCATGAAGTTGATGATCTGAGAAAAAGCTTCTTTTTTCCGTTTTAGAGTAATCAATCCCAATAAATAATAATAATAATTTCCGCTTTCTCTCTCCCCCTCCCTTCACTTTGAGAGATGAAAGAAAGAGATAGACAGCCCCATCTTTTTTATCATCAATCTACTCACTCCCTCACTCAGCTCTCTTTCTTTCGAGTCATATGTCTCTCTCTATTTCCATCTCCTCAACGTACTCTTTAACTGTAGAAACCCTCTGTTGCTCTCAGCTTTCTGTCCCATCCATCAATATTCCAAAACGAATGTGGGACTCTCGGAGTTTGCTTCCACCAATCAAATTCTCCCTCTCTCCTTCTCTCTCTTATATATATACGCACGTATATACACACATGAGTACGTGGTTTTTTACTGAGTGTTAATTAATTATTTTATCTCTCTTACTGTTGTTCTGGTAAATAACAAGACAGAGATGGTGCAAAGAAATCCCTCATAACTCCAGTGTACGACATAGCTTCACTGCTATAGGGGCTATGTAGAGAGGTAGGTTTCCTAATAATTCATATTCTTTGACAGTGACTTGGCACACAATAAATTATGTAGTTTTAAAATTTTAATTTCAATTCTTATAATTGAATTATTAAATACAAATTTACCCCCCAAAAAAGTAATAGTCCATGAAGCAGATTTTTTTAAAAGAAATTCAACAATAAATATAATGAGGAAGGAATTAAAGTCAATCTTTCTCTAACATAATGGCTCCAGCAAAACTTTAAAAAAAAAAAACAAATTTCTATGACATTACCCTTTTTGTAAAGCAGGTGAAAAAGATTATAACATGACCTTGAATTAATAATAACAATAACCAGGAAAAAAAAGATTATAAAAGAAGATATTAATTAAGGTGTGATGATATAATTATAAGTGTAATGAATAAATTTCTTTCAAGGTCTTGTTATAATCCTCTCTTTGTTGGTTCTTCAAAGGAAGTGGTGGTGGTGCTGTGAATATGATTTGCTGATGCTGATGCAGATGATGACGATGACCAGTCAAAGAGATTGAAAGGATCTAAAGCTTTGGATTCTCTTTGATGATGATGATGATGCTGATGACAATGTTCTTCATTGAAACCTGCTTGAGTGAACAAGAGATTCAGTGGGTCAGCTTCAATCTCTCCCAATTCTGCAAAGAAATCCTCAGATGACTGATTATTATTATTGCTTTCCAACATACATGGCTTGTATCCCACTCCACCTTCTGATGATCCATTATTGTTATTAGTATCATCTTCCATCATCAGATTCTCAAGCTCTTGTTCTTCATTCTGGTTCATCTCTGTTATCTCCCCCATCATCTCCAACTCCATCTCCTCCTTCACCGATGATGATGAGCTTTTCCCTCTCTGATGATGATGATGATCTTCCTGCTGCTGCTGCTCGTCCTCCTCCTCATCCTTCGGCTTCATGCTGCCACCGTCTCGAGGTGGCGGCCGAATCAAAACTTGATCGGAATTGTTGCTGTTCTTATTACTGGAAGCACTGTTGTTGTTGTTGTTGTTCTTGGAAGGCTGAGACCTTGTTGAGCCGGCAAGAGCGTTTCGTTGAGTCGGCCATGGATGGTTGTGCTCTGAAGTGTAAGTGATGACCAGCATGTTTGGGTCTGTCCTGCTTCTCTCTACTTGTTTTCTAGCTGAACAACCCTTCGAACTGCTGCATCTGTAGTAACCCCTGGAAACACAGACATATATAGATATATATATATAGCTAGACATATATACATATAATATATATACACACTAAATTAAACACATGAATTAATGCTTCAGGTACGGGAACATGGTGATATAATATTGATAGATAGGCTTTTTGGTTTCGATTGATGATTTGACTCTCACTGGAACCTCAGACTCGTATTTCAAGAGATATGTAACTCTATACTAGGACTAGAGGGCGTGTAATTCTAGCTACGTGATTCAGATCACTATAACTGGGTAAGTGCTTTTCATGTTGTAGCTAAGTGGAATAAATCATTTTAGAGATATTATTAAGGTCTTCAAAAGTAGACGAGGTTCAATAATTTTCTAAAACTTATAGTAAATTTCGAAACTATTCAAAACTTTTTTTAAAAAGAAAATAGTAATAATTTAAATCATATATATATCCGTTAGTAGCTTTAACTGTTTAAAAATAAATCATTAATTAATTTAGGATTCAGCTCCTTACATGTAATTTTAACTGCAGTTGATCGACGAGAACCATTTAAGGAAGACCAGTTTTGGAAAGACATTTTGACACCAATGTATTTTCATTCTAATAAAAATAAGGCAATTGGTTTAAGTAATGACAGAAACTTAACACTACTCAAATAAGGTGTCAAGTTCTATAGCCTAACAGACAAAAGAAATCCTGTGAAGGGAGGGAGCTTTTCTTCGATTGGGTCTACTTCATTAACCTCACATATAAATTCATTAACAATATATAAGCAATTGAACTACTATACATAAACAAATATATTTTGACTTCGTGACATGTCCTAATCTTAATGAGCCCCAAAAACCCAATTCACATAAACTTACATTTTCCTACCCAAGAAAGAAAACAAATTAAATCCCACATATTATATACTTAACAGAGAGATAGTAAGATCATGCATAGAAGGGGATGAAGTTAAGCCATAACTATTATGGTGGTTATTATAATAATAATAATATTATTATTATTAAATTATTATAGTTACCTTGGGTAAGGAGAACCTTTGATGGGTTTCTGACCGTACTTTCTCCAAGCCCACAAATCAGAAGGAACTACTTCTCCACTACTTGGTCTGCTATTTGCAGCTGCTGGTGCAGGTATACATACCACCTTCTTCGCCTGGCTCTTTCTGCAGGCACACATACACCAATCCATAATTCTCTCATCAATAATCTTATTTCTAATTTATCTAATCATTATTATTATCACCATCTCTGAACAATTAGATATAGCTCTATCTATCTGTAGGCCCCCTATCTATATATCCCATAATGTTGAATCTGCTAGCTGCAGACTGGGAACTGTAGAAGCTGTTTGATTTGGTGTTCAGAAGAAACAGTACTGCGGCTAATAAGAATAAAGCAGAGTATGGAATTTATGACATCAAATTTAAATGAATAGGACTTTTCAGGTGAGGTAGGCCAAAATTTACAAGTTTCAGATACATATCATTGAACTCATTGAAAGCTTAGTCTATAATTGTTAACTTAATTTTCATCCGCTGGCCTTAATTAACCAAAATATCATCTCTTTCATTAAATATAGCTCTCAAATATTAATATCGACTATATAATTATATGGGTGTTGGTCACCTCTGAAACTTGATCATGCTTCTTCTTGTTCTCAGTCAAATCAGCGAAAAGTAATACTAGTAGTAATAGTAGTAATAATAATAAGAGCCACCTAACTGTGGCAAACCCTACTTTCTCTGAAGCTCACACCATGATTTTATGGGGAATTCCAGTTCCCAAAAACGGCCGTGATTAGTTCACTTTTATGAAATTAATGATGAAGCAGAAAAATAAATTTTGTTCTTTCTGTTCACTGAAATCCTTGGGAAGAAGAAGAAGAAGCTGGCATCTTGATCCATCGCATTTAATTTGCACAGAGATTATAAAAACAAATAAGAATAATTATTAATAGACTCACGGTTTATATTATAACTCACCTTCGCTTGAGACCCGGATTCCTTGGAGACGAGATCTGCACCGCCGCGTTGTCCACGGTGATATTCATGTTGACTGCTGCAGAAACCAAAGAAGAAGAAGGCTCAATTCCCCTCCGCGATGGCAACGACGATGAAGACGAAGAATTCATGGCGGCGGCGGCGGCCATATTCACCGGAGGAGTAGAAGAATCACACGGCGAAACTGGTGGTGGTGGTAACTTGGCGGCGGCGTTGTTCAAACTGCTGGGAGAGATCTGAATCATGTTGGAGAATATGGTATTATTGTTACAAGCTGTGGCTGCTAAAGCAGGCCTTATTCTTATATCGTCTTCAACAAGCTTGTGGTGATGAGACAAAACAAGAGAAGAAGAAGCAGAAAAACCAGGAGACGCATCTTCCATGACAGAATTATTAGTAGCAGAACTGAAGTATGAAGAAGGTAAGGGGAAATCAAGGTCTTGCAGAAAGGGATCTCGCATGTTCGAGAAGGGATCGCAGAAGACGTTGGTGGCTCTGTGAGAATCTTCCATTATTACAGAAGAGAAATCCATCTGGTGGTGATGATGGTGGTGGTGCCAACTTTCCGATGAAGAAGAAGGGAGATCATGGGGAGCTAATTCTGATGTTGAAGAAGTACCATATGAGCCGCCGCCACCTCCGCCGCCGCCACGGCCACCCCCGCTACTACTTGCTCGGAAAATGTCAGTTAAATCGCCTTGATGATAATTGTTGTCCATGATTATTGAGCCAAAGATACTGCTGCACATCCTTTTTCCTCAGTGGAGAGATATTGCTTCAATCAGAAAGAGGAGCGAGTCATAGCTAGTAGTGTCAGTCATGTACGTTTTAATCTGCTTGATTTGCATGCAAATTAATCCTACTTAGGAGAATAGAAGAAAGCAATAAGGAGATGATAGGGAGAAATATATAGAAATAGGTCAGAGAGAATTAAAAGCTTTGAGACTAGTGATTGCCTTTGTGTGTGTGAGAGAGAGAACAATAAGGAGGAGGAGGAGGAGAAGAATGAGATGAAGAAGAAGAAGGAGGAGCAAAAGATTAGAGAGAAATCGGCTTAGAAGAGAGAGACGCTGACTTTTCACTCAAAACAACTTCATTTCCATACGCAACATGATGAGAGATAAAAAGGGGAGAGAATAAAATAAGGAGACATTTGGGAGTAGCGTAGAATAATGATAAGTCTAATTTATTTGAGCTGGGAGGGAAATTTATTATAAACCATTAAATAATGGGTCAAGTTAGTGGTAGTTTATTCTCTCTCTCTCTCTCTCTCTCTCTATTTGATTAAGAAAAGATGTCATTACATTACAGAATGGTCATTTCTCGAAAACAAGTGATGAGGAACTAAAGAGGCGGCAAGTAGCCGCATTTCCCGGAGAAACGTTTCGAAACTTTGAACCTAATTTTGCCGTTTCTTTCTTCCGATTTTTAAAAGAATACATGAGATTATTATTAATATTAGGAGAGCTATATAGGTCTCTTTTTTTCTTTTCGCATAACAAAACTTGATCCGTATAAGCACTTTTCGCAGTTCAACCTTCTCCAGATACGACTACAAAAATTTAATTTTCTTTTATAAGGGGAATTTACGTAAGAAATATGGATTCAAATTTTATGATATATAAGTTTTAAAATTTTTGAAATTAAGAAGCCAGTCCATTTTTTTCCTCTAATCATTTTATTTGATCCAATTACAATTAGTTAATCTCTCTACTGATTACCTCTAAATTAGAAAATGCACTGATTTTGTATTATTTTCTCCGATTTTCCCACATATAAAAAAAGTCGATAAAAATGTAATTCATATATCCTACAAGAAAGCAATTTCAAATCTTGCTGTAACACTTGGTAAAAAAATCTATAAATATCTTTTTAAATGTTTTTTTAATAATGAGACTTGCTCTGACTCTAGTGGTCGTCCTGAAACTTAATTTACACAAATGTCTTGTAACTGAGAGGACAAAGGAAGGACGGAAGAAAACTAACAAGTAATTAGTAAAAGTTTTAAGCAGTAAATCATGAATCTCAAAATTGTGGACCCAAATTATAATAAAACACTACACTAAGTTAACACTTGTTAAAACTCATAAATATTAAACACTACCCGATGAAGAATCAGAAATTAATTAATTAATCTCCTTATTGGAAAATTTTTCTTTTTATTTAGTTTTCCATTTTTATTTTACAAAGGCGATTTCGGTCCTTTAAAACGAAGTGGGAGAGTAGTATACATATATAATTGGTGAAGCGTTGGAGGGAAAATCAAACTCGTGAATAGTAATTTCAATAAGTTTGGAGGGTTTCTGTCATGAAAGAATGAAACAGTGGTGATAATTACACTCTAAACTTTTGAATCAAAGTTTAAGGCACTGTTTGGGGTACCAGATTTTAGGCCAAACAGCGTATGCTGTCTGACTCAAGTAAGTTTGAATAATCTTTGTTTCCAATAATTTATTTTCTCTTCGTCCCCTCGAAAAGATCCCTAGCTGCTACTCCTCCATGTGCTCTTATATAACAGATGAAGATTTCAGACTTTAATTTAATGGCTTGAAAAAAATCGAGTTTTCAATTAAAACAATAAATGTGCACCTATTTCTCCTTTTAAATTTTTTCTTAAATTTTTAATTAAATTAGGTTTCACGAAGCTAATATGCATATTTACATAAATAGTTACAAATTATCAACTAATACAAATCTTACGTCGTCAACGAGCAAGATTCGAACCCATATATTTCTGGAAAATGTATTATTTTTAATTTTTTATATATCAAATAATTTTGTCCTCTCTCTTAAATTGAAAACGGAAATAAAATTGATTGGATATGACTAGAGCGATAGTACATGTCTTGTGTGATTCATACAGCCTATAGACGAACATGAAGGGGCCTATAGACGATGTCATAGTAGTTATCAATTATAAACAACATTTGTTAAATATTCTGGCAAAACAAAAACACTATATGGACAGGATAGCTTATATGTATGCTTAAAATTTTTTTCTTTTGTGGATATCATCTATTCGAATTAGGAGTGAAATAGACATTCGAAAGCACACAATACTCATGAAAATATAAAATTTAAACTTCTATTGTGGTCGGCCAAAAAAAAATATTTTCATTTTTATATGATACTGAAATTCGTCATTTTTTTTGTTTTCTAAAATAATAAAAAAAACTTTTTGTAAAGATTACATAATACATATAAAGAAACTCAAACTGGACAAAATTTATATTGAAAGAAATATTCAAGAGGTAAAATTATGTTACTCCCATGTAAGTACCAAAACATTACTACCATTATTTTGCATCAACTTAAGATGATGTGTACCAATTACGATATATACTCGTCCAAAAAAAATTGTGATATATACTACTACATTTGGTCCTAAATATAAAAGTTATTTGGAGATTTAATTTAGTCTTAACTATAAGATCTCAATTTATTTTGTTTCTCATGTTCATATATTGTTTTTCAAAGTAGTCCCTATGGTGATTACACATATTAAAAGTTCTATTAAATGATAGTTTAAATGCACATGACTAACAATAATATTTTAGAAAATATAATATATATTTATTACAAAGAGTTAACTTAACTAATTATCTTAGCACCTCACTACAAAAAAACATGCTTTTAGCGACGGAGTTTATTCCGTCGCTAATTCCTTTATCGCTAATTGATTAGCGACGGAATTTTCGTCGCTAATTACCGACAGAAATTTTTTGTCACTAATCCGTCGCTAATTCTTAACAGAAATTTCCGTCGCAAATTAGCGACGGAATTTTTTCGTCACTAATCCGTCGCTAACCCGATTTTTTAAAAAATAAAACAAAATACCACGTGGCACCTCTACCAATTGCCACATCATCACTGGGGACCACCTCCACGTGTTGCTGCCACCTCACCTCTGCCTGCCACGTGTGCGCCGCATGTTACCACCACATAATTCCCTCCTCAAAGTGACTTCTCCATGGCTTGAACCCAGGACCTCCTCTGTGCACACGTGCGGCTTTACCAGTTGAGCTGCAATGAACCTATTGACTTATTATGTAAAATTAAATACATATATATAATATTATTTTACACAAACAGTTATATGCATGTATATTATTAAAAACTAAAAATATACTATATGATAATTTTAATCATAACTATTTTAATGAAAAATAATTTTTAAATATTTGTTTTACTTTTTTTATAATGTTTTATTTTTTTAAAAAATATTTTTAATATAATTTTAATTTCTAACGACACTAATTTTGAATTTTAAATCATAAATAATTTTTTATAAATATTTTTAAATTTATTTTTTAATTAACATTGATAAGATATACAATTTAATTATATATGTATTATATTACATTATATTATATTATCTATATGTGTTTTATATATTTGAAGAAAATCATTTACAATTAGTCAAAAAATCTTGTTATTCAAAAAATAACTACTATAATAAAATCTAATAAATTATTCTATATAAAAAATTAAATGATTTGAATAGATTATAATAAGCAGTATTCTCCTACTTGTATATATATCCTATGTAATTTATTTTCTTAAAATTCTTTGTATATACCATTTGTTTTTATATTAAAGACTAAAATCAATCTATATCATGGGTATTAATTATATCGTGATTAAATTTTATTGTTTAATGATTGAAATTCAAAATTCACTTCAATATTAGCTTGCATTCATATAAATTCATTTTTTGGTTTTGAATCTCTATCATATATTATATATTTCAATATATTTTACATATGATAAAATTATTAAATCAGTTTGTATAAGAAAGTTATTAATATTCTTATTATATTTTTTTAATTATTATTAATAATCAAGAAGAATTTATTTTAACAAAATATAAACAAGTTTTCTAAGAAATTATCTTTCTATTTTCAGTATATACATAATGATGACATGAATGATGACGATATCTTCATTAACACCAACTCCACAAATATATCAATTTATTTTATAATTAAAAATATTTTTAAATTATTATATTCTTAATTGTTATTATATAAATTTTTGTAAGATTATAATTTAAAATAACAAAATTTAAAATTAGTGACAGAATTACGACAGAATAGAATTAGTGATGAAATTAGTGACAAAGACTTTTGCGACAAACAATTTAGCGACGGAATTAGCAACGGAAATTTCTGACAGAAAAAATTCCGTCGCTAATTATTTATTGACGGATTTTCTGACGGATTAGCGACGGAAAGAAATTCTGTCACTAATCCGTTGCTAATATTAGCAAAGGAAAAATTCCTTCGCAATTCCATCGAAAAAATTAGCGATGGAATTTGTTTCTGTTGCAAATTCCGTCGCAAATTAGCGACGGAATTTTTTTCCGTCTCTAATTAGCTGTTTTTTTGTAGTGTCCTGCAAATTAGTTATATAGCTTTTATGTTAAAAAGCAGGTGTAGAATTAAATTTTAAGAAAATTGTACAAAGATGTACCTTTCTTCAAATCTAAAGGAAACTCTTATAAATCAAGGTTGTAATTAATTGTACCTAAATACAATTATTATCACCATCTCAAATTGATGTGAGTGATAGAAGCTCTTGTTATTTAATTAAGCAAGTAATTGGAGCTTGAATCCCAACCCTTACATATTTAATTATTTTGATCCTTATTATATGGCATCTTCCTAAATTAATTTGGTCTTAGATATAAATCATCAACTAACTCATTAACTGCTGCTTTTCAATTTTACTCTTATTATTAGTGTTAATAAGCTCATCGAATTTCATGTTTCTCTATTTGCATCGTTTAAGTTGGGGGTAAACTTGAAAAACTTGTTAATTTATGATAGATCATTTCTTGGTATATGAGAATTAATTGAAAAGTCCCTATAATAAAGACCTCATTCTTCAACAATCATGCAGTCAAAGCCCGGGCTCCTCCCACTGCTTGGAAAAGGATTTTTTTTTTCCCATCTCAATATGATCAATTAATA